AAATTAAAGTGGAAAAAAACACTACAGGCTGATCCAACTTTGATGTAATGTCCTTAAAACAAGTCAAAATGAGGCTCAGTAGTGTGTGTGGTCTCCACATGCCTGTATGACCTCCCTACAATGCCTGGGCATGCTCCTGCTGAGGTGGCGGATGGTCTCCTGAGGGATCTCCTACCACACCTGGACTAAAGCATCCCCCAACTCCTGGACAGTCTGTGGTGCAACGTGGCGTTGGTGGATGGAGCGAGACATGATGTCCCAGATGTGCTCAGTTGGATTCAGGTCTGGGGAACAGGCAGGCCAGTCCATAGCATCAATGCCTTCGTCTTGCAGGAACTGCTGACACACTCCAGCCACATGAGGTCTAGCATTGTCATGCATTAGGAGGAACCCAGGGCCAACCGCACCAGCACATGGTCTCACATGGGGTCTGAGGATCTTATCTCGGTAGCTAATGGCAGTCAGGCTACCTCTGGCGAGCACATAGGGGGCTGTGCGGCCCCCTAAAGAAATGCCACCCCACACCATTACTGACCCACTGCCAAACCGGTCATGCTGGAGGATGTTGCAGGCAGCAGAACGTTCTCCATGGCGTCTCCAGACCCTGTCACATCTGTCACGTGCTCAGTGTGAACCTGCTTTAATCTGTGAAGAGCACAGGGTGCCAGTAGTGAATTTGCCAATCTTGGTGTTCTCTGGCAAATGCCAAACGTCCTGCACAATGTTGGGCTGTAAGCCCAACCCCCACTTGTGGACGTCGGGCACTCATACCACCCTCATGGAGTCCGTTCTGACCATTTGAGCAGCCACATGCACATTTGTGGCCCTCTGGAGGTCATTTTGCAGGACTCTGGCAGTGCTCCCCCTGTCCCTCCTTGCACAAAGACGGAGGTAGCGGTCCTGATGCTGGGTTGTTGCCCTCCTACAGCCTTCTCCACGTCTTCTGATGTACTGGCCTGTCTCCTGGTAGCGCCTTCGTGCTCTGGACACTACGCTGACAAACACAACAAACTTTCTTGCCACAGCTCGCATTGATGTGCCATCCTGGATGAGCTGCACTATCTGAGCCACTTGTGTGGGTTGTAGCCTCCGTCTCATGCTACCACTAGAGTGAAAACACTGCCAGCATTCAAAAGTGACCAAACCATCAGCCAGAAAGCATAGAAACTGAGAAGTGGTCTGTGGTCACCACCTGCAGAACCACTCCTTTATTGGGGATGTCTTGCTAACTGCCTATGCTTTCCACCTGTTGTCTATTCCATTTGCACAACAGCATGTGAAATTGATTGTCAATCAGTGTTGCTACCTAAGTGGACAGTTTGATTTCACAGAAGTGTGATTGACTTGGAGTTACATTGTGTTGTTTAAGTGTTCCCTTTATTTTTTTGAGCAGTGTATCTGAATGAAATATTTTAATGTGTTGGACTGAACTTATTGCTCAGTTGAATACTTAGTTGAATACTCCAATTAAACTGTTTTAGAAATTTAAAAAAATTAGATTTATTCTATACTTTAAAATGTCTCCTCTTTCCCACAAAATATAATGTAAGAATACTACATCAATACAAAATGTTCCGATTCGTTTCTTTTAAAAAAAAAACAGTGTCTCTGTATGAAAATATGTACCATAATGTTATACAGTTTTTGTTAATTGTTTAGTTTCATAAGTGTTTTACTATATTTACACAGTGAAGTTTTCTTCTTGTTAAGAAGCTTTAGTGTCTTGGTTAATTTTAGCAATGTGCAACTAAGGCATACAGTACTACAGATCTTAATTATTCTATAATGCTTGTTTGAAGTAACCCTAATTTATTTTCTGTGTTTAATATTTTTATTAATCAAATTTAGCTTTCTCTTAATCTAATATTACCTAACCCAGACTTTATCAGAATCTGTTGATAAGGTTAACTTATAAATTTTACCTTCTCAAACCAATAATATTTATTGATTATGTAGAACAGACATATCCAGCCCACAGCCCACAGGCTGCATGCAATCCTGGACAGCTGCTGGTAATAATGCAGCCCCACTAGATTGTAAACTTTTACCATTATTATGAAATTTATATACAGTACGTTAATTATATATTCACTCAAAGCAGTTCAGGCACATTAAAAGGATATCCATAATGTAGAATAATAATACTGTAGATGAGAGAGTGAGGAAACATTTTTAATCTGAATTAATTCATTAAATACACACATGCTAACTAGATACTGCATCATTCTCTCCATTTTTAAATCACCACTGCAGTTATCTAGGAAAACTGCTAATGATTCTGTTGCAAATTAGTGTTTCCTGAGAAAATACATATGTAGTTCTTGTTAATAAAAATGGTAACATTGCATTATATGACATAAATTGCATTTGTCAGATTTATAATGGTTTCTATTTTGTATTTGGTTTGTATGATAACTATCTTGAATTTTGAATGTAATAGTTCCTTAGGTATAGCTTGGCATTAAATTTTTATGTCAACATTCAACTATAATAATGAAATTATGATTTAGTCCCAGCAAGCCCTCGGGTTCTTGTGCGTGTTTCCTTTCTGTTTTACATGAACTGCATTTAGCATGCTAACCCTAAAGTATAATTTATTTATTTATTATTTGATTTGATTTATATTGCCGCCTATTCGCCCATGACGACTCGAGGTGGCTTACACAATGTAAAATCATATTTAAAACAAATAAAAATAAAAACAATAAGAACTAACAAAAAGAATCAAATAAATTAGTATAAAGTACAATAGAACAAAATTTGGGAAAACAAAAAACAATTCCCGCACCCCGACAACAGCGGATCACACTAGCCATTTGATGGGTTCCATCCCTCTCTGGGTTCCCCAGGCCCGCTGGCAAAACCAGGTCTTCAGTGCCTTTCGGAACAGTATTAATGAGGGGGCCATTCTAATCTCTGGGGAAATGATATTCCAGAGAGACGGAGCCACCACAGAAAACGCCCTTCTTCTAGGTCCCACCAGGTGTATCTCCCTCAGGAGTGGGACCTGTAGCATTCCCTGCCTCCTCGCTCTAATGGGTTGGGTAAATGTAACTGGCAAGAGATGTTTCCTCAGATAACCCAGACCCAAGCCATGAAGGGCTTTAAAGGTGACAACCAGCACCTTGAATTGCACCCGGAAGCAAATTGGCAATCAATGAAGCTACTGCAGGAGAGGTGATACATGTGCACACCGGGGTCTGCATAAAACCATGCGGGTCGCTGCATTTTGCACCAACTGGACCTTCTGGATGCTGTTCAAGGGCAGCCCCGTATAGAAAGTGTTGCAATCAAGATGGGAAGTGACCAGGGCGTGAGTGACTGTGAGTAGGGACCACTGATCCAGGAAAGGGCATAACTGGTGCACTACCCATAGTTGCGCAAAGGCCCTCCTGGCCACGACCGCCGCCTCTTCGAACAGGAGTCATGAGTCCAGGAAAACCCCTAGATTACGCACAGGGTCTGTTTGGGGTAGTGCCACCCCATCCAAGACTAAAGGTAATTCTCCCTGAACCAACGAACCCCAGACCCAGAGCCACTCGGTCTTGCAAGGCTTTAGTTTCAACCCGTTGCTTCCCATCCAGCCCCTAACAGCCTCCAGGCATGCGAGAGGGAGGACACAGCAACACTTAACTCACCACAGGCAGAGACATACAGCTGAGTATCATCAGCATATTGGTGATACCTCAGTCCATGGTGATGGATGATCTCACCCAGCGGTTTCATGTAAATGTTGAACAGGAGTGGAGAGAGTACCAAGCCCTGTGGAACCCCGTAAATAATGACGGAAATAAATTAACTTCACAATTTATAGACAGAAATTTTCATTTTCCACAAACCATGGCTATCAGTAGTACCAATTTGATGATTCTAGAGGCTTGGAAATTGAAAATAGAGAGTTCTCAACCAATTTTTTGCAATGTAATATAATTTTAATAATATATTGGCCTATTGAAAATTTGGCTATGAGAAACAATTCTTTTATCTGTGTGATTTTTCAGAAGTAAGTTAGGATTTTTTTTAAGATTGCAGCTGAAAAAATAGATTTCCCTTATTGGATAGTAAATGGTTAAGAAAAGAGTTCCTTGTCCTGGCTCCATGAAGTACAGATATTATAAGAATTACTGATAAAACATTTTTGCTGTTTACTTGAAAATTGTTTCAGATTTTGGCCAAACCCATCATTCTGCAAGCTGAAATGCATAAAAAATTAATGCCTAAATAGTTATATTCTTGCCTTTCTAATACAGTGATGTCCTGTTTTTGTGATCAAAGTTCTGCGAAGGATGTATTGCCTGTCATCTTTATCTGCAGCTAGAGGAAATTTATTCCTAATCCAGTTTGTGTATTTAGAAGCATGGAATTTTTTCCTGTGCTATCTCATTTTGCTCACAGAACATCAGTTGATTCAATAATCACAGTTTAGAACGTCTTTTTTTTAAACTTCCCTTTTTTTAAGCCTGAGGTTGATAATTTGAGAAAATTGCTTATTGGGAAATGTGTAGGTGGTTTTTCTTCCAGGTAATCACACATGAATAACTTGCTTGGCAAATATGAACTGTTTTATGTTTGGATTCCCATTCCTCTGTGTGCCTTTAAATTCATTATTTTGAAGTTGTGGAAATTACCCTGTTCATGTATCTATAGCAGAGTCTGTCTTTGGGACCCATACTATCAGTGCAAAGTGATAACAGACAACCCTTCATTCAGAAGATAGTGCCATTTAAATATCAGGGCTAGGTGAATCATAAAAGCTGTCATTGTATTCTGCTTGTAAGCATCTCGATGCATTTGATTGACACATTTTGAAAACGATGTAAGGAACAAGATTCTCTTTAATATCCAAGAAGAATATTTTGTACACACTTTGTTGCTCTTTTATCTATTACATATCTGCTAAGCTTTGAACCTAGCTTATCAAAATGTTTAAACCAGAACACATAATTTTACTCAAAAAGATTGTTCATTTTCAATCTTGTTTCATTTCCTGGCTCTCATAGGAATCCTTCAACTACTTTCTACCAAGTGTTTCATTCGAACAAGTTACAGGAATCAAAGAACCTCTGGGATAGGTATGAATATTTGAGTATGGAAAGCATACGTGCTTAAGTATGCATGAAGAGCTTTGCACTGTGCAAGTTTCTCGTCATCAAATAATATGTTCGTTTTAGTATCTTCTTCCTGTTCCTTGTTTATTTGCCAGGTAGGGGAATTAAAGTATCCCAAAATTTCTTAGTTATATAACTTGTCTTTTGGGCCATGTGGAATCTTGCTCCATTTCATATATAACAAGGTTTTTCTGGGAGAAGAGTATTTTTAAATTAGATGATAATTGATATTAAAATGAGGATTTCTATCAGTTGTAGCTATCAACAGTTCAGACTTAATGTTTGAAAACTATCAGTAATAAAAATGGCCTGACTAAAGTATTTTGAAAAGAAATCAAAATCTTTTAAATTTCAGAGTTAAGAGCAGTAAATATGGGATCTATATTGATTGGACAAAATAACAATTATAACATGTATCTACAAATTGAGTCATGGATAAATTAAAGCATTAAAAGAGAATTCAATTACAGCCAGGCAATTGGCGAGAAACTGCAACAAATTCAACTTTGAGGATATCACTTGTCAAAGTTGTGTTACTAATTCAACAGCTGCAATTCGCTTTCTCACAATATTAGCAGATTCCAATATTAAAAGTTTGGAATCTTGGCTTTTCAGGCTTATGGTGTTCTTGTCTGTTTTATATTTTCTACTGCTAATTGAACATTAAGCATCATTGTTTGTTTGCATTTGTGGTATTGAAGCAAAGAAAACTGAATGGCTTTTCTTAAAGCTTGCTCAATTCACATGCTTGCTGATTTAAAAATTTTAGAGAACACATTTTAGATTAAAAATACAGTAATTAAAATCACAATAATCAAATAACTCATATTTAAAACAGATACAAAAGAGCTTATAAAGCCATTGTTTTCAGTATTGAGATTGAGATCCTCAAGTACCCTTAATAGCTTATTTTCACATTTGGGGGTTTCAACATGCCATAAGATAAAGAAAAAAAAGATAATACTGTGGTTTTGTGTGTTGAGTCTCAGATCTACTAGCTCCAGGAAGACAATAAGCACTATAGGGATCAAAGAGGAATCTAGTAATATTCATCTCACTGATTCAGTTTTGCAAGCAAAATGAAAGTGGGCATGGCTGATAGAAGCTTGATTCAATTTCTGATATTCTACCACAAATAGAAAAAAGAAATTGTCAGTGTATTTAAAAAAGCCAAACAATATAATAGGAGATTGGAGGAAGAACATATAACCAAAGTAGGATACAAGGAAGAGATCCAAAATGTGGAGATAGTATCGGAAAGATTAAAGCTTGGGATGTGCTAAGGTCACAAATGTCCAAAGGGAAAGAAAGAACCTTCCTGAGTGTGTCAGAAACAAAAAGAAAAGCAAATAGGATGTAGAATTGTTGTGGGGAAGAGGAATGGAGTAATAATAGATGAGAATACACAATACCATAATTATTTTCAATGCTTTTTCTTTGAAAGGAAATAAACCCCTGCTTGGCTATTGTGCCACTAATGCAAGGAGGAAACTACAACATAAGCTAGGCAAGATGAGGGTAAAGGAACACTTACCCACTTTAAATGGACTCAAATATCAAGGGCTAGATGAGTTACATCCTGGACTATTGAGGTGATTACATTAACTTTGAATAATTGTTGAGAACTCCTAAAGATCTAGCAAGAACTCAGAACACTGGAAGAAAGCAAATGTCTCTGTAAGGAAAAAAATAAACTGAGTTCCTAGGAGGGCTACCAAGATGGTAAGGCAATTGGAAACTTAAGTTCTAAGGAACTATTAATGCTGCTTTCAAACTATGGAATAAATTGTCTGTTAAAGTTAGAGCACTGTCTCTGATTAGCAAATTTTGCACTGAGCAAGTAGTTGGTCTAGATATCCTTTCCAATTCTGTGATAATGTTGGAATAAATGGAACTGGTTGAAGGCTGATTCATACTTACCAGGGGTGGGTTTCTACCGGTTCTGTCCACTTCTGGAGAACCAGTAGCTCTGAAGAGCAGCAGACATAGAACCGGTTCTATGTCTGCTGATGTTTTTGCCCACTCACCCACCCGGGCTCTTACCTGACTTTTATTTTCTGATTTTTTCAACTTCAGCTGCTGTGCGAGGCACAGCTGCATTTTAAAAAGCAGGGAAAAGGGGCTTTTTGAAAGGCTGCTTCTCTGCACGCAGCATGCTGATGACGATTTACAGGCACACGCAGGGAAGCACATCGTAAATCACCGAACCTCATAAATGACCGAACTGGTAGTTAACCCTGTCGGATCCCACCCCTGATACTTATGCTCTATAGCAGGTTCTTTCAAAACTTGTGCAGAATTCATTTCAGCATTTCCTTATATTCAGATCTTGTTTTGCTCAGCTGAGACAACTTTAGTATCTCAAATAGCTCTTGGAGAGTGCCAAGAACTCAGGAAAGCCTCAGATTTCATGGAGCAATTGAGTCTTTTTAATAAACTTTCATGGGAATTTTTTTCTCTTTCACATGGGAGATGGACATTATTTATATATTGCTATGTACGGTGTATGATATGTTTATTGCTATGCATATGATATTCTAAGATATGGATCAGGTTCCTTTAATCTGAAATTTGATAAATGTAGAAATATGGATGTGACAGTTAAGGGGGAGAAATCGACCATAGACTATAGCTTACTTATTAAATGCTGTTTTTTTTTCCCCAGACATTTCTGTTCATACTATTTTGTAATTTATGGCTCGAGTGCAAATGTTGCATTTTGTTGATAGGCTCCTTCAATTCATAAAGACACTGGTGGAATGGAGAAAGAACAACTTTTCCTCTCCCATCACTGGTATGGCCTCTGTGTCCTTTCAACTCTACTGTGGAAGGGTTGGGAATCTAACCACGTGGAGCTTTTAAGGAAAGAGTTTCAACCAAACAAGACTTTTTGAGGGAATGCAGCTGAATCAGTGACACCGGAAGCAAACTCCTCTGAATCTAATTTATTGACTTTTGAATCTAACTACATTGACACTGTAGTGTAGTGGATATATCCGTAACTCAGAATTATGTGATAATTTTATTTATCAAATTTATACACCACCTATTTCATCTAAGGGAAACATTCTAGTGGGAGAGAAGTTCCCTGACAATGGGCTCCAGCACAAGTCAAAAAGCTGGGAAGACTAAAATTCTGGTCCCAGTGACCAACCCAGATTAGATCCTGACTCTGGTTGGTTTACATATAAAAACATATAGTCATACAAAAGAGATAAAGATTAAAGTTAGAAAAACAGGAATAAAAACAAGTTTAAAAAGAGGAGGGGGTGTTCTCATGCATGTCACTCTTTCTTTCTTTCTTTTTTTGTATTTTCGATTTATCAACATTTCTCTCTTGACCCCCATGCCAGTTGTCAAAGCCAGGCCTTGACATTCTTCCAGAAGATCAGCAGAGTGGGAGCCCACCACAACTTTAGTGCCAAAATATTTTATCTAAGTAACATTGATTCACAAGTATATCCAGATGCTTCATATTAAAGCAATCCTAAGGAATACAAAATCTAGAGGTAAATTTAGGGGTTCTCTAAATTTATGAGACCATGATTCCTTAGCATTATAAATGAATTTGTGAACTCATCTGAAAATAATGACGTTATCTACCATATTGGAGATGACCAGTTGGCAAAACCAGTTGCTGATCACATTGTGACTCTTAAAGGCATATGATTTTGACAGATCACTATACTCCTGAGTTTAGCCATGTCTAAAAATTCATTCCTGGATCCTTGGGCAGAAGAAACCTCTTTCTTACCTACAGTATTCTAAATTATTGTTTTAAAAATTAAACCTCATGTTCAGGTGAAAGCTTCCTTTGGGAAGACACCATGTTTTCCTTACCACTTGAACACTTGTTGCTAGGTGCATTAACCTCAGGAGCCTTTCACTACTTTAATTACTCAGAAAAAGAGATTGTAGAATAGCTTTAAAAAGGACACACCAGGGAGCAATCAAACTGCTGCTTGGCCTAGTATATTTTTGCTGCTTGGCGTAGTATATTCTGACTTTGTGATAGATGCAAGAAAATGGAAAGTAAAGTCTGCCCATTGGTATTGACAATTCTGTTTAGTTACAGCTCTCTTCTTTGTAATGACCCATATTGTGTGTTGAAAATGCTGCCTCTAGAATTCTGAACCAGTGGCCATTTCCAATCTCAGTACATCTGACATAGTGGACATAGTGATTTGACTCTGCAGTTCATTCAGTTTGTATTTAGAAATGAACTGCTCTGATTTGTACTTTCTGAACCACTTTAAATTCTGAACTCCTCTAAATTAGAATGTAGTATTTAACAAATGTTCTAGAATGTTTGTGTGCACTAGCATGATCTGTCTCAGATGTGTTCACTTAGTAATACAAATGTTTTATTGGCAGTAACAATTCTAAAAATAAGACTGTAAAATGTCTCTTTCAAAGAAAGTTTATTATCAGTTAATATCTTACATCAATTTACCATGTTAACCTTTATTATTTACCATTGATACTTTCATTCAGACTCATTTTTTTAAAACTTTTGTTCATCTGCTTTTCCATCTCACCAAATAGTTGGATGATTATTAGATAGTACTTAAGGGTGTATGAGTAATTGAGTAAATGAATTTAATATTTGATTTAAAAGATTTGATGTTGTTTAATAAAATATTTAACTATAAAATTACTAAACTTTGTTAACTACTTTAACTTTGGCAAAAATGGTCTGACAATGGTAGATATGGTTTGCCAAGTATCAACCCAATATAGTCAAGCATTTTACCATAACTATAAAATACTTTCTCTGAATATTTTTAGGGTAAAAACAGTAGGAGTGAAAATGGAAAGTAGTGTAATTGATTTTTAGTTCAGTAGAAATATTTCTTCTTCTTTCTTTCCGTGTCTCCAAGCAAATTTTTCTAAACAAACTCTATGAGAAATGAGACACAGACAGAACCAGTACTTCTTCAAAGATTGTTATAGGGACAATATGA